AACAAGGCCACCATCCTTTTCAGTCATAAGTCTTCACAATGCTTCATGTCATCCGCATCAGATGGTATTTGGCTGCTGAAGAACGAGTTGAACAATGTCTATCGACGGGGATCCGAAGTGTAAACTGGTGGCACGGAATCGATGGTGCACACACCAGAAACAAAGGAAATATTGCAAAACTTACACCCTTTATGCAATACGAGTGATGGCTGACACTGAGGAGCGTTTGTAACAGCTACGGCGTTGTGATGAAAAAAACGAGATGTGCAAATTGACGGACTGAATAATATTACTTGTGGATTTTTGTGAGTAATAATAATAATGATAAATAATATAATAATATTAATATTAAACGATGGCCTAGAGATAAAATGAAGCTGCCCAAAAGCAGACATTGCTTCTTCACTTTCGTGAAGAACCCACCATATAGAAAGGAGTATATCTAAAGGAAACCGGATACTCTTGCCAAAGGTAATACAACGTTCCACATCGGCACTTACACAGTTCGCATACTAGGGGCTCAAAAACCAAGTAAATCAATATTCTGATCAAGAAGTTTCGCTTCATGCGAAATTACATAGCAAATCGTGCAACACAAGAGGTCCACCGGTTGGAAAACCGAGGACTAGAATGTCATCCACATACCGTCTGACAAATTCGGTCCACCAATACTACCAGGCTGAAGAAGAAATGTTCTAAAACTAGTCCAAGAGAGATGCCCATGGCGAGGACATCGGCATACATTTATGCTGTCTTGTCAAACTCAAACCGTATGTTTTCTGTGCACAGTAGAATCATATTCAACAACTACTCCAAAGGTAGGCCAATAAATAGGTTTTGACCCAGGATGAAAGCGAATAAGTCATTGTCCGTTTCGCGTAGAGGCACGTCTGTGAGTAGAGACCACCTATATTGAGTACATGAGCTCCACCTAGTGACGATTATTCCAGTGCTTCTAGTAGTTTAAAAGGGTCTTTCAGGCAATACATATGCATATGCATATACATAAGGAGTCCTAGAGTTTCGGCAGTCATCGCGTAGCGCTATGATAAGACAAGGTACTCATGCATAATCGGGCGCAGCGGGTTACCTGCATCCCAGTCGGTTTTAACTGTATACATTGTTACTCAGTAATGCGAAGATGTAGCAAGAGGATCCGGAGTTTCCTTGAAAGTTGCCTCTCTACTAAGAAGCTAGTACCAGATGCTTTATGCAGCTGGAACTTCTGTTCGTTCATTATCACGATGCTCGAGGCATTATTCAGCTGTAGAAACATTAAGCGTTCCATTTGTTTCAACTCCGTGATTGCCGTATGGTGTTCAATGTTTAAACAGCACTTCTGGTTTATCGATGTAATCTGAGATTGGTTAGCAATATCCACTAATTTTATCCGACGTGGTGGACAGTACCTTCACGTTTCTAGCTTCGTCACGGTGCCATACAAACGCAGCCCAGTGAAAACCGGTTGAACAGACCCAGATGGATTTACAGCTCCGAAATGTTGAAAGCCGTAAGAAATAGCCAATAGGCCTCACAAAAAGAAAATACCAGCGGTAACGGTAGAGAAAAAAGATATGCATTTGTTCGTGCCGTTCTAAAGGGACCACAATACAAATGATATTGGACTCAAGCTCAGGTCTGCTCTAACGCGCACCTACACGACCGTCCAGTTGCAACTTATGCATACCACACGAAGCCATGTTTCTCATAACCGTCACTTAAGCTTCTCACGTTGTTTAACAGCTCACGTGCAGTTGCGGTGACATTTACATGGACAGAACTGACTGACAGTTAGCTCAGAGAGAGAGAGTAACTGAACATCTACCAAAGTAGTTTGGAAAAGTGATGACGCAACAAAACGAACGGATTCGAGGATGAACCGGAGCCTGGCATTATTTATCACTAAATAAATCATGGTAAGTTATCATCATGTGAACCTGGAGACCGTGTTCAAAATGTTATGGCGCAATAAAACCCGATAATGTTGGCAAACAGTGAAGAATTGCTACTTAAAGCCCAACAATCTGAGTTATGTGCACAGAAACTATTGTTGCAATCAATTATTTTGCCTTGATGATGACAAGTTTCACAAGAGACCGAATTAGTTTAGAAATAAACGAGGACAGTACAAGGATGAGGGCTCTGAGGCAAAACGACTCATCGCTCCAGCGGTGCATTGATATCTGCAACAGTGAGTCTTCGAGCACGTATCATTAGCGGTAAATGAGAGTCGCAACAAATGTAGAATTGTCCGCAGTGCACATTCCAGCTGACCCCCTGTGAAGCTCGAACACACAAGCTGACTGTGGTGAAGACCACTGGGCTACGAGGGACGGCAACGACCGTCGTGACTGTTACTAGATGTGATAGGACGCCGCTCAGTATCTAATGACTTGCACATTAATACTGTGCAGAGGATAGGGTAGCCCCTCACTAGGCGATGAACACACCAAACTTAAGCTGGCAATTTACTTATGGCAAGATGAAACGACCGCACAGTGCTTTTCCAGGCATGTGATGGCTGTTTAATTGGGTCTAGATGTGATGAATCTTTACTATTCAACTCTCCCAACTATTGCACGGTTTCGGAGGGCCAAATCACGAAGGTAACCACGGCGAGATAAGATGTCTGCAAACCTCGTGCCCCGCGACATCCAATAAACGGCGCAGTGTCTGACATGGAGACAAATTGCTCCAAAGGTGGAAAAAAGAATCACTTTGCTTATTGTTGTCGTCAGTGAACGTGAGCCCACTCGCGCGTGACAACCCAAATAGATGCAAAACATTTAATTAGAAAGCTGACTCCGAAGTGCTCACAGAAGTTGGTGATTGGACGAAGACAGAGCCGTATAATTCCATCAGGGCAAGGGCATTACTAGCAACATTCGACCCAGAAAGCGCCGTTCCGCGGTGTATATCAGAACTGATCAAGATTGTGTGCGCACATAAAATGGTTCCGGACTTCATCCGAGAGGCTCGGTTACAATCGAAGTAGTTAACCCAAAGGACGGAGCATCACACCGATTCTTGGAATTGATTCAATCAGGTATCTTGGTTTCGTTAAATTTAACCATGATCGTTTTGTGCATGCTTGCCAGGGAGAAACCGATACCAGTGACAGGTATCCGTCATTTCAGTCCAGGCTTGTGAAGTTGCGGTGTTGCTCATTTATCGTTAAAGTTGCGAGTAGAACCAGTTGTGTTGCCGGCTAGAAGAGCTCCATTTGCACTGCGAGGTAGGTGTAATGCTGAATTGAGTGGATGGCGGAGACGGGTGTTACCGCTAAGGTCGATGAATCAACAGGCTGGGTTACTCATGATGTAAATATTGGTAAGAAGCGGTCGAGCTGTATAATGTATATCGGGCCAAGGCCGTTGGATAAAGCGTTGCGTAGAGAACATTATGCACTGACTACACTGGAGGACGTTCTACCCGTGTAGCTAATACCAAAGACTACACAAACGTAGACCCATCGCCAGCATACTGGTACATGGACTAAGATAAGAAGTCGAGTTTCCTGACGACGTTTACCCCATCTCTCGGTGGTTGCGTTTGCCAGTTCGTCAAAAAGTTTCGAGTGATTTATTTCAGAAACGACTAATGCAAGAAGTGGCGGATCTCGATGTTGCAACGTGCGCAGTGGACGTTGTGTTGAGTTACGACTCAACCAGAGGAACATGATGTCAATTTCCACTGTTTACTGCAGCGTTGCATTGAACCGGACGTAAAACTGAAGCAAGAGAAAGTCTGGCTTCAAAAGTAGGAAGTAATTTTTCGTGAGCATATCTTCGCGTCCGAAGGAATCAAAGTTGATCTGGGAATGGTTAAGACGATATAAGAGACGCCATTTCAAAAAATGTGAAGACAGTGAGTCGTTTGAACGCTATGGCCAACTAGTTGAGACGTTTATTATTATTAAGATTTGCCGATGTCATAACACCAATCCGCGGACTGAATCATAAAGACGTGAGGTGGAGTTAGTGAAAAAAGATGGACCGATTTTATAACCGTCAAGCAGTTCCCAGTAATGCGCCAATGCCCGGCTATTACAATCCGACGCGACCTCAAAATGTACAGTAGGACAGCAGCCAGAGCGTAATAGGTACCGTTCTCACGCAGGATGGAAAACCCCTGGACTTCCGCAATCGCTCTCTCACGGTAGAGGGAGGCAAAAATTGAAATGAAGATGCTCAGGAAGATTTATACGACAGAGCGTTTCAAGGAATAAACTTTTGAGAGAAAAGCTGCAGTGTACAGGGCTACAAAACGCTCATTTTCATCTCCAATAAAAGGTTACATGGGTTCTCAAAGTTTCAAAAGTATGATCTAGATATCGCAAACACCCAGAGATGTTCATTGAGTACGCCTTGTCAAGAGCAGATCTGCCAAACAAAATCAGAAGATCTGGAAGTAGTGAAACTGGTGCGGCATCTGGCAATGACAGTGGAAGCGGCATAACGTGATTGGCGTTGAGAGAAGTGCTCCTGAAACTACTGAACATGAAGCCCCAGCTCCCGAAAGAATTGACACCAAATTTTAGCTTCCAGGAAAAACTTCACGATCTACGACGTCAAGGGAAATCGTATTGCGCTCATTGTGCCTAGTTAAGAGTTACTTACGGCGCAGATTAATTCTGGTGCTCTCAGTCCATATTGTCGGGTTTCAACATCATGCCGGGTCTTAGTCGTTTAACTGTGGGTGGCGCAAGACATGTCAAGTTGCACCACCGCAATTCAGCACCTAGGTAATGATTGGTGACAAAAGAATACATGATAAGTATTGTCGATGAGCGACCAATAATCGGTACAGATGTATGGTTTGGTAACATACTAGTTGGGACACGTAGAGCAAGATTGGTGGAAGTAAGTGAAAAAATGAGAATTATGCTGAATTCCTAGGGACAGTAGCAACTGAACTAGCAAGCAAAGGAAATACTCTGACATGACGTATGAGTAAATATATGGGTTTTCTAAGCGGTAACCAGTGCTAATCAAACTTACAGTCCTTAGACATTCCGCTCGCAAGGCATTTGTGAAGCCGACAATGCTGACACTTGTTGCGTAGGACACGGTTTACCTCACACTGACCGTTTCGAGCACAGCTAAACGTGCGGTTGCGCTGCACGGCACGACGAAAAAAACCCTGGGGACGAGAACAAGGGAGAGAAGAATGATCAAAATGGATGAATCAAACAATGCAACAGGTAGGAGTGATTGGCACTTCTTCATTTATTTACACACTAATGATGAGGAAACCTAACAAAGAAGATGAATAAACCATTAAAACGAAGGAGTGTTCGATAGGTACCAGCAGTACACGGATACGCCGTATCGACGCTTCACTGTCACGCAAACCACCACCAGTCGCGCCTGGTCTAGGGATTCCGAGAATGTCGCCACATCCGCTACGCAGGCTCGAAGCGGCGACCTCCGGATTGCAAGTAAGGGGTTCAATCACTTCGGCCAACAGCCAACCAAGAAGTACTGGATCAGAGCAATTCAACTAGTCGAATGGTAGGCAGTGATCATTAAACGCAGGCAAAGAAACAGTGAGCAAGAATCTATGTGCACTCGCTGCTTGTAAGGTGAAAAACCAAGAACTGAAGCGTGGTATACTCCGGTTGCATCGACTCAAATACCCATCTCAATAACAAGTGAGAAGAAATGCTAATCGGAAAGCAGCTGATAAAAAAGAAAGTAGTCAAGAGTGAGTGAAATGGTGAGCGTAACGAATAGTGCTTGTGTCTGCCTACAAATTGAATCGTGAGGGGAAAGCTTCCGGGCGAACCAAAAAAGCTGTTTTTTCAACCACTGGGTATTACCAGTACACAAAATTGTAAGCCAAATAATATCGGTATGAAGTGATGTGTCGGAGTACATTGAATAACCGAAAGGTGAAGGCCATCCACTCGGTACCACTAAAAAGAGTTACCCAGAGTCAGTGGTATTGGAAGAGTTAGTTCAATATTCAGCAAGATGCAACTACAACGCATGCGTTTGCAACAACACACCACACATTTATTCCAAGATTTTAGAGTGAGAGTGAGTGCATAAGGCTGACCATTCTGACAGCATGAGCGTCAAAAAACCATACGAGAAACCAGATACTCGGTATTAAAGAAGGTGGAGACAAACCACTATGTGTTGCGAAGAAGCGCTACAAACCAAATCGCAATGACATATATATATATATATATATATATATATATATATATATATATATATATATATATATATATATATATATAGTTTGCAGCATTCGGTTTCGGATTTGCCTGCCACTGTGGTCAGCCACAGGACGCCTGTGCCTAGAGAGGGAACATGGATTGCTTGCGCTGTTCCATCCACACACCCATATCCAGTGTAAACCTGAAGGAATAAGACCGGAAGGCAGGTGGATGGGAGCCAAATTGCATCAACGGAGCCGGCCCACACTCCTTCACAGGCAAACACAGGCTGGACCGTAGTCCGCTCCACACCGAGTGCATGGAACCACTCTTTGATCCTAACACGGCCACAAGGACCGTGAACCCAGTCCCCTCCAGACACGACCAACTGTTTCCTGGAGCCAGTGTGGACCAAGTAGTGGGTAATAGACAGGTAGGCACCTTGTCAACATGCACATCAAGCACAGCCACAAGGGGGATATCAAGCAACAGCCAATCACTTGAAACGAGGATTCCAAATAAAATAAATCGAAGAATGCAAACAGATATGGAGACATAACTCTTCAAAATGAGGTTGCCAAAATATCCGCTATTGCAACAAGACGTCAGAAAACATATCTTTAAAAAATGCTATAACCGTGAAAATGTTATCGAAGTTAAATACAATTAGCTTAAGCGACGTGTGCAAGATTATAGAAGATCGTTCAAGTGGATAGTAATACGAGATGGAAAAGCATTAGGAAAATATAGCAAATCCACCACCTGAAATAAAGTGACTTAACATGCAAACACGCGATTAGTAAATCGAATGCAGCGTACCTACAAACGCTGCGCCGGTTCTGCCTACGTTCTCTGCAGAACCCGACGTTGCTTCCGTGGTGGACGAGAGTGGCCTCGCTCATGGCTCATTACGCCTGCCTGGCTAAGGCACTCGCGACCGCATGTGCTACAGCACCACGCGCTCGCTATCGATGGAGTACAACCCATCGGAGCCTGTCGCTTTCGCAAGTGCCGCTTCTTCTCTTCAAGCATGAGGGTATTCTCTTGCACTTCGGCAATCGCCCTCGTGATCAGATCGCGCCATGAACCACGATCAACCGCCTTCGATTCCCATGATCTGCAATCAAGATGAGAACGTGAGAGGTTCACTTTGATCAGGTCGTGGGAACGTAACTTAGGTTTCCTCACATGTCGCTTCCCATTACTCAGCTGAGCATATAAGAGTTGTTTCGGTATCCGCGTCGAATCCATACGGCCCACACAAAAGAGCCATCTCAGGTGTTTCAGTAAAAGTATGCAGTCCACTGCATACATCCCACTTCGGCGCAACACTTACGTGTCTGCAACTCTGTCGCCCCAACCGATCCGCAAAATTCGTCGCAAACACCGTTGATGGAACCTCTCAAGATATCGCACATCTCGCCGGTACATAGTCCACGTTTCACTGCCGTATAGAAGAACGGAAAGCACCATGAATTTATACACCATCAGCTTCGTGCCAACGGTAGGCTGATGGTTGTTCCACATTCGGTACTCAAGCTTCCCGAATGCCACCGCTGCCTTCGACACGCGAATACGCAACTCAACGTGTAGCTGCTGATCAGTCGACATCAAACTGCTAAGGTAGCAAAAGCGGGAGGTGGTTTCCAATATTTCAGCATCAAGGCAGATTCGAGGTAATATTGAAGATTACACCTCCGTTGAAGGCTGAAAGAGACAGACAGTTTCGCTTGTGTTGATGGTGAGCCCGAATTTGGCCGCTGTCGAAGCCAGTGCATTAGTCATGTGCTGCAACTCATCCGCGCTGTGTGAAAACAACGCACAGTCGTCAGCAAACAGCAACATACGGATAGTTGTCTCACAGACTAGAGTTCTCGCACCGAAACGACGGATGTTCAGCAACCCACCATCAATACGGTGCTCCACACGAACACCGTAAGCACAAGCCGATTCAAAATCACAAGACAACGTTGCACGAATTTAGATATTAAACAGGGTAGGAGCTAAGACACAGCCTTGCTTCACACCAGAGACAACTGCAAAGTCATCCGAGGTCTCTCCACTCAGCTGCACCCTCGCTCACATACCACTGCGCAGACATTCAATTAAACTTACAAACTTACGTGGGCAACCAAACTTACCCAACACCAGCCACAATGCATCACGGTTCACCGGATCAAATGCCTTGGTGAAATCAACAAAAAGTGAGTACAATGGCTGGTGTCGTTCTCTGCACTTCTTTTGCAACTGACGAGCCGCAAACAACATATCTATAGTGCTGCGACCCGAACGGAATCCACATTGCTCTTCCGCCACGTTAGGTTCCACAACCTGACTCACGAGGCGGTTAAGCCGGATTCGGGCAATCACCTCGCCCACACAATTCAGCAAGTTGATGCCACGATAATTCGTGCAACATTGCTTGCTACCTTTGCCCTTGTATACTGGTAGCACAAGGGCATCCTTCAACTCAGGAGGCACCTCCTTTTCAATCCATACACGTTGCACCAAGTGGTGCAGCGCAGTCAACAAGGCGGGTCCACCGTGTTTCAATACTTCAGGCGGGATCCCGTCGGCCCAAGCACACTTGCCGTTTCGCAGCTGAGCAAGTGCTCTCTGTGTCTCACGCCATGAGTGGCACACAGTGAGAGCGGCCTGTCACCGTTGGCAATCGCTGAACCAATGCCATGCGGACCGATAACATCTGACCACACCGATGCATCACGTCCAACGCGCGCGTTGAAATCACCCAGCAGAAATACTCGGTTGCTCCTCGGCACAGACCGTATTACGGAGGATAGCAGAGTGTAGAATTGATCACGTGTGTCATCAGGATAACACATGGTCAGACCGTAAGTGCATAGAAATGTAGCAAACTTACCACTTCCGAGTCGTAGGCGAACAGTCATCAGTAGCGCGCTGATGCTTGTTGGATCACCTACCAGCTTGTCATTTAGGCGATCGGATGTTATGTATAAATGGTTGGCAGCATCCGGTTTCGGATTTGCCTGTCACTGTGTCCAGCCACAGGACGCCTCGCCCACAGAGGGACCATGGGTGGCTTGCGCTGCACCACTCACAGCTCCAATCACACACCCCATATCCAGTGTAAATCCGAAGCAATAAGACCGGGAGGCAGGTGGATGGGAGCCACATTGCATCAACGGAGCCGGCCCACACTCCTTCACAGACAAACACAAGCACACTGTAGTTGGGGAATCAAGCGCATACAAGGCGGTGGATGGACCGTAGCCCGCTCCACACCGAGTGCATGGAACCGCTCTACAAGCTTAGCACGGCCACATGGACCGTGAACTCCGTCCCCTCCAGCAACGACCAACTGTCTCCTAAAGCCAGTATGAACGAGGTAGTGGGTAATAGACAGGTAGGCACCTTGTCAACATACACATCAAGCGCAGCCACACCGTGGATATCAAGCAACAACCAGTCACTTGAAACGACAACATGAAATAAAATAAATCCAATAATGCATACGGATACGTTGGCATAACTCTTCCCTAAATTACCATGTGAAGTAAGTTGGTTAGTACGGAATCCGCGATAAGTAAAAAACGTCCACAAGTTACTAAAAATGCCACAAAGGCAACAAAGTTACCGAAGATAAGCGCAGACAGCGTAAGCAACGTGGCCAGTTAATAGAAGATTATTCAAGTAGTGGAGCTGTACCCACGGACGCCGCGGATTTTTGGATCAACGAGTGCTGGATACTACTTTTGCCTCAGATTACTGTGTTAGCAGCGTTGTATCTGTGTGAATTGTGCACCATTATTCTTCTTTTGGCGTATTTTCCAAGCTGTGCAAATTTGGGAGCTATTCTTTGGCTAATTCCGGAGATCTCACTGATTTGCCATACTGCCATCTCTGTCCGCCATCTTGGATCTGCTCTAGCTTGTGATGCCGTCTCAAGCTACTTGTGGTTCGTGTTCGAAAGTTGTGGGAAATAAGGCTCATGCAC